TTTTTAACTAATTGCCATTAAAGGTGGTAAATAAGCGCAAAATTATAATTTTTCAACATTTCATTTAACCGCGATTTGAATATATTATATTAAATATAATTGCTGCTGAATTGTAAGAATTTATTTTTTTTTTTGATTTCTGATCAATAAATATAAAAAAATATTTTTTTTTCTTTTTTAAAAATTTGTTCAATAAAAAGAGTGTGATTTTTTTAATCTAAACAGATTTCGAGCCTACTTCACTGAGCTGTCTGAATATAACTAAAAAAAAAATAGCCTGAGCTCTCTGACCATAAGAACAACTTCAATAACGAACCGAACCTTGTTAACTTCACATAAAGCGTCATGCTATTTTGAGTTGCAATATTATTTAAACTTTAAATAAAAAATTCCACAAATATGAGGAGTAAAGTGTGAGAGGTTCAAATCCTGTCTATGCCAACATCCAAAATTATCAATAAAAATGTCTAATTACGTCGCTTCTCGGCGGCGATGTCGACCTCTGGGAGTAAATTTTTGTAAAAAAAATAAAAAATTTCTTATACAATTCCATCAGCCGTAAGAACAAACTACTTGTTGTTGCAAAATATAGTGCAAACTTGATTACGTAAACCATTAGAGCTATTACATTTCTGTCTTTCCATTTATTGGATGAGAGCATAAGTTCGTGCCCGATTTCAAGTGCAAACTAAAATTGAAATTTTTTGAAGAAAGCGCNCTGTCCGGAGGCTGCTTAGTATAAACTGAAGGTCCCTCCATTTGTTCGAAAAAACATCAAAACGCATAACCACAAACTAGAGGAGGAGCTCGGCCAAAAATTCGCTTTAGCGGTTACAAAGAGCCAATTATATTATATTATTATTATTTTATTATTATTATTATATGTATGTTTACAAATAAGTTGGTAAAGCTATGACCATATATGGCCGCTGTAGTAGTAAATTCCCCGAATGACAATTAACTGCCATGACTAATAGACATAATGACTATAAAAGTTGTATTATGAAATCGAATTGAAAAATCTGCGAGTACACACAATTAAAATGAAATGTGCCTTGTAGGAAATCTCTAGATGAGGTCGGTTTAATAAATTTGAAAGAGTTGGATTTCTCTAAAATAAAAATGTTCATAATTTTAATTTAACTCCTTTCAAAATGGTACCTCCCTTGCGCCAGGGTTTTCCGAACACCAGAAGCAGTTCTTTTTGTCCTTGAGCCCTTTTAGTTTTTAGTCTCGTCATTGAGCATATACTTCTCTCCATAATAGTACACTAGGGGCCGTCACTCAAGAAAATATTGAATACCTCAAAATATTTAAGAGGGCAGACCACACCACCTGATACTGTGAAAGAAAGGGCGGACTACTGCACGAGCTTCACTGACAGCACGACAGACTTCATAGATGTTATCTTGGACACAAATCAGTTGGCAAATGCAGACTCTAGTCGTTTTCATACCGCTTGGTCAAAACTAGGTAACTATGTACAATAACTACTCTTGGTAGTTTGGTATTAGCGAAACCATTCGTTTACCGCAACGCTGTATGATTTTTCAGAGACAACTATCGACCACATATGAGGCTGTCAGTTGTCTAAGCTCATTGGTACATTCAGAAGATCGTGTCAATATCTTTTCGGATCGCCAGGCCACATTAAGTGGCCGAGTAGTGGAATATTGCCGTAGACCACTTAAAGTTTAGTAATCGCTGTACTCTCTCAAATAAGTATAGAGGTAACAAAACGTATGATAAAATGGCGGACAAGCTTGCGTCGAAAGGTCGCTCTCTACTAGTATGCTTACCATAGAAGAGTTTTGGCATAGATACGTTGATTCGTCAGTTTTGCAAACTCTACACATTGGGCAGGACTAGCGGGTGTGGGCCATTAAGATCTTCAATTGAAACACAACTGGTCTGTTTGGAAGCCTCAGTGGGCTGATGAAATACGCAAATGGTGTACAACCTCAAGCTTGCAAGGTATTACTTCTTATTAACTGCGCGATCTTGACCTTGTGCTAAGAACTCCGTTAATAAACGCCATGATAACCAAATAATATCGTAACAATATTTTAAAGGTTCGTCAGCAGTTGTGCTATTTTTAAGGAAATTTAGAACTTTGAACTAAATTTCGCTACCCGATGTTTAAAGCTAGTGCTCTGTGTCTAATTGGTGATAGAGTTGGGCACTAATATAGAAAATAGAGAACTCTTTTCTGTCCTTCCTGTTTCCAGTTGTATTAAAGGCAAACACAGTTTTGTACCACGTTCTTCGAAGTATCTGGGATCAGTTGATGTGGCTGCAAGTGTACATTTTTTTTACTTTTTCTCCTTCAAGAAGCCAGGTTTCTGTTGTGTCTAACTTGCACTAGTTTAAGTTAAGTTAGGCTGGCCCAGCATTCATGGTGTTCCGCTGCTAACCACTTTATTGTGCGTTTAATGTAAAGAACATTACTGTTCCTCTTAGGGTTTTATAACCAATCTGCGCCAAGTAAGCGTAGAATTTGTATACCGTTTGTCGGAGACTTACAGAAATCTCCGTCTCTATCTTACAGTTGAATAAAAATATTCATTTGTTCAGCGCTTTTTGTTCAAATTGCAATTGAGATTTTCTCCTTATTGTTCCTAATACACTTCAGATTCGAGTTTAAGGTCGTCACCACGCGTACTTCATTTAGGACTCGCCGGTGTGGATTTGGATGATGTCCTCCTTCCTCCATCTAGAAGGCAACCGCTAAAGAAAACTAATAAGAAAAAAATTGAAAGAAATGTTTTTTAGAAAACCTCAATTTTTTAGAAAAGAAAGTAAGGAAAGTAAATTTTAACACAGTTCTCTTTGTCTCTGTCTCCTTTTCGTCGCTCTTAGGCTTTGTCGATTTATTTTTTTCACAATTCATTTCGAATATTTCTGCTGATGTTTCTCTCATTTTTCTCGCTGGGTTTTGAAATATGTTTTTGTTTATTTCTATACCGTTCAAGCGTTGATGTTTATAGATCGATTGGCTCTCTACGAGGCAGTTGAGCGGGAAAGTTATTTGACATTGCTTCGTATGAAATTACAAAAATCAAGATTTTATGGGATTTTAACATTCAATAATTCTTTTATAACTATACTTAAATAATAATTAAATGGTACTAGGCGAGCTGGAGAGAATTCGATATACAAAAGCTTTTTATAAAAAGCTCTTTTTACAAGCGTTCTCTAATTTGAGTTCAGTGGTTCTTATTTGATTTTTCTTTCTTCTAATTTTGTGACCCTGTTAAGATTGATCACGTGAAAGTCAATATCTTTTAGTTTTCTTCATCATAGTTTTTTCGATGGTACCGAGCTGGACTGTGTGGTTGGGGCGGTGATATATTTCGAAAATCTTAAAATTACCTTTTACTCGGATAGTATCGTCCTAGTAGAAGTACTAGGTATAAAAGAGGTCTGAAGAGCTGGAATAAATAAATATGGTAGTACAAAGAAAGCAACTGCAAAATGCTCGGATAGCCGGTCGGATATGTTACTAATCTGGTGTCTAGCCTTAGGAACATTTTCAGTTTTGAGGAAATTGACGAGCTGGCAAAGTCAAGAGCATTTCTTGAAAAAAGTTTCACTTGCAACAGAAAAGAAAAAAACAGCTTCCAACAGTAAGATAACGAATTAGATTAGGAGACAACTACCTACCTATCAGATAGGTCTTTAAAAAGTGGATATAGAGAGGCTTACAGCAACAATAATGGCTTTTCGAAGAGCGTGCTTCCAAAATGGGGCTCCCCCATAAAGGCGATAATTACAGCTCCTTATCTGAAAGGATTGAGGAAACGCTAATTGTGTGCGAGGTCCGAAAGTTCTTCGGGCTCGGCCTGTATTTTCAGTTGTCGTGTAGAAAGAAGTGAGAAAGATCGACAAGGTAACAGTTCAATTTCGAACAGAGGTTATCAATATCCTGGCCAGAGGCCATTATCGTGCAATCATCGACATACGAGGTTAAGAAAACTTCTTCTGGTGGAGGAGGGTGTTTCGAAATGTAAAAATTAGACAGTAGCGGGGAATGGACACCACCCTGCGGAACGCCCTGTTTAAATTTTCTGTGTTTCGATGTTTCAACTCGGAATTTAACCGATGATTGTCGACCACTCAGGTAGCCCATGACCCACCTCTGCAACCCCGGCGGTAATGAGGATTGCTCAATGTCGGTTTAGTAGCACGCGCCTGCCTATGCCGTGACTTAAGATAAGATTCTTTCATCAATTTTGATAGCATTACATTTTCTGAGGCTCAGTAAGAAATTTCGCAACACATACTCTCTTCTCCCAATTTTTTCCAATTTAAGATTTTGCTAGTCCAGATTCGAATTATCTTAATACTACAATTTGTGGTTATGCGTCTTTCCAAGAGATGAAGAGGGACCCTTGGTTTATTCTAAGCTGCCTGCGAACGGCCGATGGATTTTTATGAGGAGATTTTAGAGGCGACCGCAATAAGAAAAATTTATTTTGGATGTTGGCCGAACCGGTAGTCGAACCCTGGCTTTCTGAATGGCAATGCACAATGTTAACCACTCGGTCATTGCGGCCACCAAAGGAAGATATTCCTACAGTTTAATTATTACAGTGTCTTATGATTCGGAAACGTTTCTTATAAGTCTTAATCACATCAATATAGGTAAATCGTCCAAATTTCAAGCAAATAAAACCCAAAGTAGGACATTTCGAAAATATGGACACTTTAATCTAGGCGTAAGGCTAGACCAATTCCTGGAAGAAAGAGTTTTCTTAATGGTAATCTAGGCAAAAAAGCGCCTAAAAACCATATTTCATATGAATCGAACGATTTAAAAATAAATACCCAGAACATACGCTCCAAGCTTCACGGTCTTGACGATCAACGGAAAGTCTTTTATACATATACATATGTATATAGTTTACAAAAAAGTTAGGAAAGGGAAATTTTTTTTAATTTAAAAAATAATTGAATTTTATTTGCTAAAAAAATAATTGTTTTCTTTTGTTTTCTTGCAGTAGAAGATAACGTCCAAAAAAATACATTCGAAAAGGTGCTAGAAACCACCAGAAAGAGCAAACAATTCAAGTTGAAAGTGTGCAACAGCAACAAAATAGGTTAAAAAGTGTGAAGTGTCAATCATAAACAACTATATATGTATGTCTATTTGTGTAAATAAATTAAAGAAAATATACTCTTTAAGCAAAGCCAAGCCAGGTCATACAAGCGCTCACACAAAGAAAAAGATCCAAATAATTTAAAATAAAAATAAAATAAATATCAAAGAAATACAAAAAAAAAAAAATAAATGTAAAACATTAAAAAAAATATTAATTATAAAAGCTTATTGTGGAGAATTTACTCACCTAAGTTAATCGTAGCGCATGAGCGGAGAGTTCCAGGCGGAAGAGAGTGTGAAGATCGCGTCAGCATATAAAAGTGTAGAGAGAGTGTAGAGAACGAGTCGTGCGAATGATTAGACGGCAAAGGTGAAAGCGGAAAGTGAAATTAAAAAAATTTGAAAGAAAACGAATAACGAACAGATAAAGTTAAAGAGAAGGTTGGAGAGAAAGCAAGGCGAATACATAAATGAATATAAAAATAAAAAATTACCAACAAATTTTCAGTTAACTCAGCAAGGGTGGTGAGCGGCATATTGCGCAGTCTATACTAACGGCCTAACAACACCAACGACGACGACAAACAACGAACAACAACAAGAGCAGAAGTGACAAATAAAACCACAAAACTAAAAAGAAACATATATATGTATATATGTATAAAGCTTCTTTTTTTAATAACTACTGGAAACTATTTCACAAGCAAAAGCAACAAATTACCAATAAATAACAGTGTGAATATATAGAAAAATAAAGGCCGAGAGATATAGCGAGAGCGAGATACGAGCATTAAAGCAGAGCAAAGTAAAAGCCGGTAGCTAGCGGCGGGAATTTTCAAGTATTTTGAAATTCACAGTTGAAAAGTAGACCGTGTAAGAGTTGAACGCGCGTTAAACGTTATTTCGAAAGTCAATAGGCAAAAAGTAAAGTGTCATATTCGGAAATTCGAAATACACATAAACAACAAACATAGTGAATTTTTTAGTGTGTGCAGACGTGAAATTTGCGTAAATTGGTGTTTGAGAATTTTTCGAACTCAACTTCGAATTTTCGAAATTAACTTCGAACTCACTGCCGAAAGTTTTTTTGTGTTTGTGCTAACTATAAAAATAATCAAATTTAAAACAAAAAAATTTCCACACATTATAGCAATAATTTATACGTTGGTGTGTTTGTGTTTGAATTTAAATTCAAATTCGTGTGCTCGCGTTAGTGTGTGTGCGCGTTTACGTGAATGTGTGCGCTTTAAAGACAAAAAAAAAAAACAAACAAACAAAACAACAACAACCAACAAGCTAATCATGGTCGATACCAACAGCACAGCCACGTTGACGACGACAACAAAAGCAACAACCGCAACCGTAGTGGCAGCGGCAGCTAAACCAAAGCAATGTGTTGATGTTGCTGTTGTAGCGGTGGTCGACAACGCACCATTATCATGGCGTTCAAATGGTAATGGCCAACAGAAAAAACAAAAACAACAAGAAAAAGAAATTACAAAAAAGAGCAATAACTATAAACAGAAGAATACGAATATCAATGACAACAACAACAACAACAACAACAACAACAACAACAACAACAACAACAACAACAACAAGTGCAAAGAAAAAATTGCTGTTGATAAGAAAATATGCAATATTAACGGTTGTGTTGATGAGGAAAAGGAAAATTGCTATAAAGCAGCGCCGACAACAACAAGAACAACAACAACAGCCAAAACATTAATTTCCGCTACAAACGCTGGCAGCCACGAGAAAAGCATCGGCAGTGAATGCAAAGAATATATAAGCGCTGAGAATGCCGATGCAAAGGAACAGCAACAACAATTGCCAACAAAGGTGCTAACAAACGGAAATAATGACAACAACAGCAACAACAAGAATGCCAAAACACGCAATGCCAAACAAAAGCAGTCCACGGCGGCAAGCCAAAAGGGCCGCAACAACAATAACAATAATAATGCTAGCAGCAGCAACAACAACAACAACAACAACAACAATGGAAAAAATCAAAACAGCAAAATCTTCACGAATAGCAGTAAAAAGACGAATTGGAAGCGTAGTGAGAAGCGTAACAGTATCATATTCAGTACCAATCATCACTACAACAACTATGGTGATAACAAGAATAATAGCAACAACAATAGCAATAATAAAGACAATCACAAATATCGGCTCAACACCACAAATAATTCCAATACACCAAGCATTATCACCGATGACGATGATTCGTACCATGACATCACCGACACCGAATCCATACGCTCCAGCAACGACTGGCCAAGGAAATACAATCGGCAACAACAACAACAGCAACAAAATCGTGAGAAAAACTCGAAAAAACCAAGTGCCAGTGATTTGTTAACGGCCGCACTTATGGTGCCGTGTGAAAAGTGCAATAAAGTGAAAGTACCACAAGTGCAACAACAACAACAACAACAATCACAACAAGGTGCCAACTCAACTGGGAGTGGTGGTGGCGGCGGCGGCGGCAGCCCACGGCAATATCGCAAATCCAAATCCTATGTGAGTGTTTGCTCGAAAGAGACATGTGGCGGCGGCGGTGGTGGTGGTGGTGCTAGCAGTAGTAGTGGACGCAATTCGGCAGCATCATCGGTCGAGAATTGGCGTAATCCGCGCGGCGGTAATAACGGCAATAGTAAAGGTTCGCGCTATCAGCGTTCGTTAAGCGACCGTCGTACCTCGTTCGATCGTATGTTTGCCGAACGTAATAAAGATTTTGTGCCAATTGTGCAGCCTACTCGTCCAGTGCTCGCCTCGTCCAACATCGAACGCGTACTAACAGATACTGAGAAGATGGTGTTGATCGAACGTTTGGGGAAGGGCCGTCAGACATATCCATTAATGCAGGTAAGTTACTGTATACTAAAGATTATGTGATGTAGATTTAAGGAGATTTGATTTGTATTGAAAGAATTGGCGGCTCGGAAAGCTTTCTCTGTTCCGCGCTCTCTTCAAAGTAAAGATTTTGTACAATCGAAAGCTCGTCTAAAGTTTTAGTGAATTTATTGTATTTATGAATAGCTCAGCTTATGTTCGATGGCACAACGTAGTAAAATTTCTTAGAATAGTTCAAGCTCTCTTCTAAAATGAAATAAATTTCAAGGTAACCGAAGAATAACCTCTACAAATAAATGTTTTTTTTTTTGAATTCGTAAGCTCGTAAGCTCGAACAAAAGCTCTAGTGGCACTTGCTTATGTAAATATGTTTGTTTATTTGATAAAACGAATACAGCAAAGAGTACGAGCGAAGAAAAATCTATCTGTTAATCTAAGCCGGGTTAGGTCACTGACGTTAGTTCAAGATTTTCTCGATGATCCGACAATTGATATACATTTGTATAAACACAAGCGAAGGTGTGGGAAGATCTGACACCATGAAACTTTGGGCCACCCTCAAATTATTGTCAAACCCAAGTATACGCAATGTCGGGGTGGAAAATCCAAACCCAAAACTCTGGACGAATACAGGGAAGTGCGCTAGCCATTTTAGTCCGCGTTTTACACTGCGCACTTTGGTTGACAAAATGAAACGTCTGCGTCTGGTGTCTGGTGCCAAACACAAGGCGTTTGATTTCCTGAGAGAGAAGGTATAAGGGGTTATCGGGAAGGCAGAAGCCTTCAACTCTACCAAGCCCAACGGAATAAGCATGATGATGATACAACTACTGGGTCCAGAGGAGCAGAATTCCTTACAAGGGTCCTGAAACGGTCTCCTCTCCGGAAAAAATCCGGGTCGTTCCGGTATAAAGACCCGACTGTCGCGGGAACTATTGGATTTTAGTCGCCTCTTACGACAGGCATGCCTTACCGCCGGTAAATTCTTGAGTCCCTAACCCGCAGGGGTTGGTGTCTAGCCAGTACATTGAATATATTTGTCCGAAGGTAAACTATTATATCGTCGGCCTTTCCCTTTTCTTCACTGCCCGAGAATCTCTTCGCCATTCACGTCATTAAAGTGTTAGCTTCTTGTTCGACTGGCTAGAGGGTTACTATGAGTATTTCCGTCTGTAGCTAAACTCGATTATTTTGATGCTAGAGTTCATGACCTCTTTAAAAGCGCAAAAAGTACATAATTATGTTAAATACGCATATATTTGCATATGTATATTTATGCACACATCGTTTTGCACATATTTTTAAATATTCATAAACATTAGCGCAAATTTCATGAGCAATTTTATTAGTTCGGTATTTAGCAACAAGTTTTACTATGCGATTCGAAAACAACAAACAAACAAGCAAAAGGAGTATTAAATTTATGTACGTTCGTTAGGGTGTGCCGAAAATGCAGGAAAAAAAGGATTTTTGTACAGTCGTTTATATACATCAAAATGAAAAATCTTTAACTTCCTCCAGGCAGCCATAAAATTGAGAAATTTTCGAAAAAAAAATTCATAAATCCCCATTTTGAGTAAACAGATTAAAAGAACTAAAATTCTAGATGATTCTTTATGAAGAGAAACAAGCATTTTGAAGAAGAGGACGTCAAAATTTCGCGTTTAAACATTTCCATCGCCTTATTCATATTTTACCAGCTTACCATTAGTACATACATATGTATATAATATATATAATTGGAAAAGAATCATGACGTGAATGCAAGTAAAATGCTTCCAGCGTTTGCTATCAAATTTTTCACGTTATTTTAATTATTTGCTTTCATTTTATTATACGTATTATTTATTATTTATTTGCTTACTTTTTATTCTATTGCGTTTTTTTTACTTAGCTGCTTTTGTAAGATTGCCCATATGTTTTCCCAAAATAAAATACTAACAAAAAATAGCATATCATTTATATACTAAAACGAAATTACCGAAAATAAAATAAAATAAAATAAAATAAAATAAAATAAAATAAAATAAAATAAAATAAAATAAAATAAAATAATATAAAATAAAATAATATAAAATAAAATGTTATTAGAAAAATCCAAATAAAATAATATAAAGTAATTAAATAAAATAAAGTGAAAGAAAAGAAAAAATAAAATTCAATCCATTATAGTAATAAAAACGAACGGTGCCAAAAGAAAGAATACAAACAACTTTCAAACTGACAAGTTTTCTTAGTTTTCTTATATGAGTTAATATTTATTAAACTTTAATGTTAAAATTTTTTCTTTGACTTCAACCTACCACACGTGCTGGGGAAGAATAAACCAATCTCTTATAAATATGTATGTTGCTAATGAAATCACTTTCAATTTCAATAACTTAAAATTTGATTAGCATAAATAGACGATAATTAATATATTTGAGTAAGATCTTATATGAAGTTTAGAAAAATATGCCTTCATACATATGTACATATGCATGTATATATGTTTAATCTCAAGGTTCTTTTTGTTGTTACTCATGCATATTTACGTATGTGTATATTGCATACATAATACATAGAATAGTCGTCAATTTTTTTTTTTTTTTTGATTGGATTGATATTAACTTAGCTGTAGACTAGTTTATGATTTGATTCATTCAATGTATTGTTTAAATTTGAGGTGAAAACATGTCCGCATCAAATATCAACTCGATCCATACACATATGTGTGTATGTATATATAAGACGGGTGGTTCCAAAATTTGTGAAATAGCATAATTATAAGCGAAATTAAAAAATAGATTAATTTTTCGGTTTCGATATAATTTCATTTTATATTAATACCTGCAAAGCTATGCTGTGGCAAATACTTATTAAACTTATTAAATATTGGATATATTTTCATCATAATTCTTCTTAGTTGAACAGGGAACAGTAGTCGTTTAAACTGAAAAGAAGTATCGGACGGATTGATAGAGTTTCGAGGAATGAGTGACGGTGCACTAAGAATTGTTGCTTCTATCATGTTCCTCCCCATTTGATTGTCTGAAAGTCGTGCACCGTTACAGAGTTTCGACTGATTGATATTACATAGCATTCTAATAGGCAGACCGATTTTCAAACAAAGCCCTAAGAATAAAAAAGTTCTGTTGGATAACTAACCACCTCGTCTGCTACCGCATCGGTTTCTATTAACTTATATGATGTGGTTGAGGTGGCAGATATCTCAGTTGGTTGCCGCATGGATAGATCGCTCTCTCAGTCACCCATGATCCTCATAATTGATCGATTGACATTTTGCCGCTCTTCTTTTATAGTATCTGATCATTTTGCTGGATTACACGCATATTGGTGGGGTTAATTTCAGGCTTTGTGCATGACGCCACGATGTTGAGTATTTTAGGCCAAAAGTGATGTAGTCCGCTGGCGTTGATCGAGGAATGACGGGCAGTGCTGAGGTGTCAAAGTTTCAGTCGGTTTTTAGAACCGGACATTAGATTTTTATAAACAAGGTAAGAATATATCCGCATTTAACCCTATGCACTCGGGACCTCTTTCGCGCGGCACACCAGCAACTCTAAGCGTTTCGTAGCGTATTTGGTGAATTTCAAACCGTCGCTTTAGAAATGATTAGTTTATTGTGGCGTTTCAGACGCGTTTCTCTGAAGTTAATACGATGGAACAAGTTTTTATTGCATTAATTCATGTGCCATCAAAACATCGAGGCTTCGAGTTGTCATCGGCTGCTTGAATGACCGGCCGACCAGAAGTGCTTCTTTGTTATAAAAGTTTGACCAAACCACGCTTGGGTCCGGTGCTCACTTGAAAAATTCTCACCTAACGGTGTTTTTCCCTCGGAAATTTTACTTATTTTTAAATTAAAATTACTTTTCTCGCGAAATACGATTCACAGAACAGGCTTCGGAAAAGCCTGTTAGTTCAACACAATCGATTTTGTGTTATTCAATAAAAGAGTATTAACCAGATCTAATGTCAAAAACAGTTATATTGACCACATCTAAAGCGATTATTTTATGCCATAACATACAACCATTAGCTGAGCAAACATTACATGAAACAGTCTACTTACTTACTTACTTTACTGGTATAGACTCCTCAAAGAACCATAGATCTTACGCAAAACCTTTCTCTCGAAAACTCCTAACCCCGACTCATCAGATGTTGTCGTCGTCCATGCTGTGGCACCATATAGCAGGACGGGGGCGATAGGAGACTTGTAGGGTTTATTTTTCGTTGATTTTACTTTTCAATTGCCTACTCAGTCCAAAGTAGCACCTGTTGGAAAGAGTTATTCTGCGCTGCATTTCAAGGCTGAGATTATTGTTTGTGTTGATGCTGGTTCCTAGATAGACGAAATTATGTACGACTTCAAAGTTATGACTGTCAACAGTGACGCGGGAGCCAAGTTACGAAGGCAATGACTGTTTGTTTGATGACAGGAGATATTTCATATTGTCCTCGTTCACTAACAGACCCATTCGCTTTGCTTCTTTATCATACCTGAAGAAAGCAGAACTAACGGCGCGGTTGTTGAGGCCGATAATGTCAGTATCATCAGCGTACGTCAGCAGCTGTATACTCTTATGGAAGATTGTACATTCTCTATTCAGCTCTGCAGATCTCATTATTCTCTCCAGCATCAAATTGAAAAAATCACGCGACAAAGAGTCACGCTATCTGAAACATCGTTTGATATCGAACGGCTCGGAGAGGTCCTTCCCAATTCTGACTACGCTTCTGGTGTTGTCTAGCGTCAGCTTGTAAGTTTTGCGGGGATACCAAATTCAGACATAGCAGCGTAAAAGCAGCTCCTATTCGTGCTGTCGAAGGCGGCTTTAAAATCGACGAGGAGGGGTTGTATGTCGATCTTCTTTTCGCGGGTCTTTTCCAAGATTTGGCCCATGGGGAATGTCTGGTCAATGATTGACTTGAATGAAGCCACAATGACAGGTTCAAGCAGTTTATTGACGGTTGGCCTTAGTCTCTCGCACAATACGCTCGTCGGA